GTCCCCCCATGGTCTTCTCCTCCCTTCTGCCCCACCTCCCCTGCCCCTACTTACCAACTCCTAGTCTGGCTGCAGCTCCCTGATGCAGCCACTGGGGACTGTCTGAATCATCAAAGCCCTCCAAATCTTTTCTGAAGATTCAGAGAGCTTCAAATTGATTTGGCCCTTTAATTGGTTCTCATGGAGTATGTCAGGCACAGAGCATCTTTGAGGTCATCTTTGAGGAGCACATGCTGGCTGCCTTTGTATCTGACAATGGGTCCACACATGTGCCCTACTTCACAGAGAGGGTGACAGGCATGCCCACCTGCCTGCCATCCAACTGTGAAGCCCAGCTGGTGCACACCACCTACTAATGCAACCTGGTGGTGAGAGGCCAAGTGCAGAGTGCCAGAGCAATCTACTGATAAAAGCAAAATGCTACCAGTCCCAGTGACTTGAGGGACCAGCCAACAACAAACCCCTCCCTCTCCCCGCCAGGTGTCCCTAAAGGAGCAAAAAGGGCAGCGAAATTAAAAGCTAATGTATGCATCCTGAGTGCCCCTACAATAACTAACAGTGCCCCTAAGTGACCCTACAATAACAAACCATAAGCCTGAGTGATCCTATAATAACAAGCTAGTGTGTGCAGCTCCCACAACCTGAGTAACTGTACAGTAGCAAATTTGTCCTCTATTGGGACCTTACAATAAGAAACCAACATGAGCTGTCTTAGTGACCCTACAATAACCAACCCAGGGTTGAAGCCCCTGTACCCCCAGCTGGTTGTCAGATAACAAATGAGTTCCCTCAAATAACACACTTCCCCAGTGACTAGAATAACAGAGGATAGGGTGATGTGGGCACCAAGACACATAGTTAACAGCCCTAGAGGTTGCAAGTTTGAGGCCATAGCGGAAGCATTCATGATGTGGCCCTGTCAGATTCCAATGAATCTGCAAATTCTGTCAAGTACCTTGTCACAAGGACACAAAAAGGGAGGAAAGGAAATGAAGGACCAAAAGGTGATATTAACCTGAATCTTCTACTTCTCAAAGGAGTATTCCAGATTATGGACTAGGTATTCTCCTGAAACTGGCCTACTGCACCCTGCATTTCCTATCCCTGGACAAATAGTAAAGGGGAAATATCTGCCGTCCATCAGAAAGGCCCAGGCTAAAACCTGGGCCCCTTCTTCCCAGGACAACATCCACCTCACTGAACAAGCTGCCCTCTGGTTTATTCTTTTCCTCCTAATCCTACTTACTTTTCCATCTTAACTGTCCACTGTGCCACCTTCAAAAGGGGGGATAAAGACTGCTCAAAATAAAGTCATGTTCTATGACTTTGAAGGAATGGAGTAAGTCTAGGAGTCAAAGTTCCATTTTCAAATGCAACTGAGATGCACCCTTTAAAATGTTGCACAATATGATGAAACCAGGCACAATAACCACATACAGAAATGTAGGAAAAACCTCATTTTAACGTTCATGGAATGCAGAGAAGAGTTTACTATAATAAATAGGAGGAATTCACTATAATAAGTATTAGTCAATTTACTGCATCATAATGAAAAACAAAAGTTTCCTGCTGCTGGGTTTGTTAAAAGAGGAGTTTGTTATAAGCAGGGTTATAATGACGTTGTACAACAGTACAACATGCACAGTTGGCTTTGTGTTTAGTAATGTTAACAGTTGATTACTGTGCATGACCTTCCTTTTCATGGTAATCTTTTTATACTAACTAGATCAGATGTGGAAGAAGGCAGAATGCCTTGCCTTCTGAAGTTTCTTCCAAGTGTGTGTTTCATTTCATTTTTATTTTTTCTGCCTGCTCTGGTAAGGCAATGAACTAGGTAACACTGTGGGCTGAGCAAAGAAAGAAAGTTTCTGTTTGCCAAATACTTTGAGAATATAAGAACTGTCATATTGGATCAGATCAATAGTCCATCTAGCCCAGTCTTCTGTCTCCAACAGTGACAGAAATGACTGCTATAGAGAAAGAGCATTGAACTGGATATCTCTAGAGTGATCTATCCCCTATGCAATGTCCTGGTATCCACCATTATTTGTTTAAAGATGCCAGAGGAAACATCCCCCACCATTCTGTTCAATAAGAATAGCATTTTTAAAAATGGCAGGTCCATAACCCCATTTTGTATTGAGATCTGACTCCATGACCCAACCACTCTCCAACTTGGCTTTTACATTACATCCTCAGATAGCAACTGTGATACCCAGCAGTTCCACTGGCTTGATAATTTAGGATTTTCCTTCAAAAGCTAGACTATAACAGGCTATATTATGAAGAAACAGAGAAGCAACAAAATGAAACAGGGTATCAAAAGTTACACCATACTTGGAGAAATAGATATAAAATAACAGAGACACCAATACACATACCTTTTTACTTACATGGACTCTCTTCAAACTCTTGGGTAGACCTAACTTAGTTTGATGACCCACATTTTAGAACGATGTTATAGTTGTCTTGCTGCAGAACTCTGACTTTTCATTAGCCTATAGGTATCTTTTGATCATTTTTATCCCCCCTTTCCTCAGAATATTTTAAATTTGATTTTCCTTTTCTCAACCTTTGCATAATAGTCTTATCCCCAGGTTTGGTTGCTTGTTGAGATGTTCCTTACCTAAACTATTTCTGTAGCAATCTTCTTTGATACAGTTGCATGCATTGAGGCAAATTAATATCACATTGATAGAACATATAATTATTAATATAAAAATACAAATATGTTCCTGTTCTCCATGTGAACAAAAACAATTTTCTGAAGTTTTACAAAAAATACCCCATTTCAGGCTAGGAGTTTGTACTGCAAAATGCCAGCCCTGA